ATTTGAAATATATGAGTTTGTATGTAATGTATGAATATAATATACAAGTTTCACTTTTTAAATGGAATTACTGAAATAAATCTACTTTTTCATGATATTCTAATTTTATGACCAGCACCTGTATCTGATGCTGTTACACCTGAATTTCCCCTCTGCGGGACAATAAAGGCTATTTCTATTCTATGCTGTATGCTGCATCTGTTACCTATGGGTGATAATGTTTTGTTGTACTGTCCCTGCAAAAATAAATAATAAAAAAATAATAAAATTAAATAAAATAAACCATCTGCAGCATGCTCTTATTCCCTCAGTAATAAATCTGTTTGTTACTTATTTCCATGAGAGTTGGTCACACTATTAATATCCCCATGAGCTGCAGTTCCGTGAAGTATTTTTTTCCAAACATTGATCAGCAGCCTGTGATCAGAGGTTGACAMACAGAATGGTCCAGCTCTGCTGACAGATCGGCATACAGATAGTAGAGTGCAGCAACAGTGTTTCTGAGTCAGTTTAACGTGCAGTGTATCTTACTGTGTCTTTAAGTTTTAAACAATTTTCAGATGTATACAAAAGTGGAATGACAATACTTTGATCTTAGTAGTCTACAATATTGTTGTCCCAGAAAGATGTCTGCTTCTTTATCATATTTAGAATATAGAACTTAATACCCACACAATATTGACTTCACTTGATTTGTTACAAAAATAAAAACTAGAACTGACTAAATTTACGTCACTTTGTAAAAGTGATCTGTGCCTTTAAAACACTTTTAACTGATTTTTTCTGATCATTTGATCGTTAAAGCTTCAGTCTTGTGTGGATAAAACTAAAACTTTTTGGAAATTACATATTAAATGTCTCCGGGACCCAGATATACACTTATAGTTCATCGCAAGTGATTTGTGCACATGTATTTGAATGAATGAATGGATACTTATTGTTCATTTTTAACTAATTCCTTTCCACAATTTTGCTCTGCATGTTTTAACTTTATAGAATAGAATTAGATTGAACAGAATTGATATTTATACACACATACTGATACACAGAATATTGACAATAACTACTGATTAAACCAACCAGGTGTACACTAGACTCACTGTGGAGTTTGGCATGGAACAAGCTGAGCAGGTAGTTGCTCGTCTGTTGCAGCAAAACATTGTTGTCTCCTTCATATGTGCAGTTTGGGTCATTATCGTCACGTAGATCACCCAGACGGCTCACTGCAAAACACAATGTCATGATAATTTGGATTTAGGTAGGTGTGTGTGTGTGTGTGTGTGTGTGTGTGTGTGTGTGTGTG